TAAAAGTTGTCCAAATCCTGGAGCTTTTGAATTTTACCGATCGTAACTTTAATTGCATTTAAGTGTAAATGGAAGGCAGGCAAAGTTCCATTAATTTAACTCTTATTTAAAATAACAAAAAAATGAGTGTTTAGTCACGTTAATTAAGTAGTGATCTCTATTAAGAATTATCTATTAGAAATAATACAATGTACGCATTAAGCATAAGATGACAGTTAAAAAAGTTAAAAGGAAAAAAAAAAATGATTGCAATGATAGATTCTTATGGTTGATGGCAACGATGTAACATTGTTCATTTTCCCTTTTTCGCCTTTTATTTTTCGTCGGCGACTAAAAACAAAAATTCTTTTCCACTAACTTAATTTTCTATTAATCTCTTTAGACTTTCCAAACCCATACGAATTCAAGTCCGGATTCCCCTTCATTAAAAGATAAAAAAAGAAATATTCAAAATAAATAAATAAAAACGAATGTCGAAGCGAGGGAGAAAAAAAAGATATTCCCATAATCCCCGGTGTCGTCAGTGGATACTTATTTGCTACCACTAGGGCTGCTACCGTAACTTCTGATGACAGGTCTGACGGTAGACATTCATCAAATAATCTAGTTTTTCGGTTTGGCGACTGGAATCGACTTTCGAAGAATTCTCGATTTGACAGGTTCCGTTTGACCCTTGTTTCCTTTTTGACTGGATGACGATTAGATCTGAAAAGATTCGAAATCGAGTTAAGTGGGGGTGTTGTAGAAAACTGAAGTCTATCCATAGCTGATACAGATCAAAAGATCATGGAATAGATACATAAAAATGTAGTAGTTAAATCGATAGAGGATTTACCTTACGCAATGTCATATCGTCCATTTCTTTTTTTGTTGCTATTAATGGTAACGCTATGAGAGAGAAAAAAGTACATATTTGGTGCAAATTTCGCTATATTTAAAAATAGAGCGTAAAAACTTTACGATATATTTTGCTTTGCGGGGCAAAAACTATAGGACTAAGAGAATCGAATTAACGTACGTGTGTTTTGTAGAAAATGTACCGGGAGTACGAGGAAATGAAAAATTAACATTCTATAATAAGTTCGCTAATTATTAGTTCTGAAATGTGTAGAAAAAAATAACATTCGGGCTGCTTTGCAGGCTGCATGGATGTAACTACTGAGTTGAAATTTGACGTGCTGAAAGGGATAATTTTCATTTGTGAATTGAATGCGATTTTTTTTTCGTAATTCCAATTTGTTCGAAAGTTATTTCAATTTTAAATTCTTTTCCACGAATTTGTCTTAGTTGTTTTGTTTTAATGAATGACTATTTGAACTGTGGTGGGCCAGGGGACAGAGCGTTCTCTATCCAATTGGGTGAACACAGGGTTGGAATCCCAGCGTTGGCTGGTCGAAACGAATTCCGCACTCGGCTGGCACCGACCACAGTGCTGACGTAAAATATCCTCAGTGGTAGACGGATCATGGGTTCGAGTCCCCTTGCCATGAAGATATGCGTGGGAGTTTTTCGTGGTTTTCCTCTCCATGTCACGCAAATGCGGTTTGGTTCCATCAAAAAGTCTTCCAAGACGGCACATTTCCCCCACTATTTGATCCAGGAGTTCCCTTGTCTTCTGGATAGGGAACCCAAAAAATTGGGTCTGCTATTCAGAGACGGTTATAATATGAAATAAAAACTGAGGACTTCTTATTATAAATTTATGCATCTCTCTCGATAATTTTTTTCCATTATAAATTTGCGCTTCAGTTGATGTCAAAATTTTAAAAAAGAAAGAAGAAAAAACGAAAAAGATATGTTGATAGATCACGTTTATAACAATTATTATCTTAACATTTAGATTAAAATTTTTTAAAAATTTACAAAAAAAAGAAAAAAAAATTAACATTGAAGAGAAGTAAAACTTTTTTCCAATTTGAACTGTTATAATGACTTAAGATTATCGTTTTAGAGAACATCGGTGGAATATGTTGAAAAAAAGAAAAAATTCTTATTAATTTCTTAGTATTATATCCTAAGTATTGTGTTGAATTTAAATTAATTATTTTTAATTAATAATCGTTAAATTATTAAAGGAAAAATGAATGCTGCTAAGAGGTGTTTTAAGAAGTTACAATTAAGTATCATTCACAAATTATTGTAACCAAATGAAAAAACAGTTTTTGTCGAATATTTTCATAACTGATGTGAGTTTGTGAAAATTATTCATGACTCTTAGTTTATGTTTTGCCAGTGTCCTTTATGCTAGTAATGAAAATAGCGCAAAATGTTTGACCTCATTTTCATAAAGATGAAAACAGTTTGTGATTTAATTTCATAAAATTTCGTAACGTTCATAAAAATTTGCATAAGTTTGTTTTATTCATTAATCGTAATGATTTTCATTTAAATGGAAAAATCTCGCTTAGTCGATGATCATTTAAAAAGTTTAATTCTGCTAAAACTACTCACTCTGCTTATCTTTTTTAAAGTCTAGTTATTATTTTTTTTTTAAAGATGAATACATAGTTTTTAAAAGACAGAGAAAAAGAGAAAGAATTTGTTAAAGACATATAGTTTAAAATGAAGGTCTTATTTCGACGTGTGAAAGATGTCATGTTCAACTGTTTAGACTTGTCATTTTCGACCCAACCCAGAAGACAGATGCCGGGGTCCATAATTGGGACAAACTAACCTTCGCGTAAGACAGTTAAATTATGTAACACGGAAAAAAACCTCCATAAAATGTTTTTGACTGTTAACCCGATGTCAAGATGATTCTGCAAAAACCGTCTACCATATCTATTATTAAATGTACATTGCTCCAAAAAAATGGACTACCCTAAATAATGTTCATGTTCTAGGACTCAATCTTAATGGCTCGATGGGGTGACCTCAAATATGCTAATCAGTATGTGCAGACAATATTTTAAGTTACGAAATCAGACACGAAAACGTACTTTTCTTGAAAAAACAGACCTTTTTTTCGACTGATTTGGATTTCAGACTTTCAAAATAAAGAGGGGCAGCAGCAATCTTGGAAATAGGTTTCCGATAGTTTGGTCAGAAGAGCGCTCCAAAGTTTGAACCCCATAATATAAAATTTACCTTTTGCTCGTTTCGCTATATCTCCTGAACTTGAAATGAAAATTTTTTGCACATTTTTTGAAAATTTTTTTGCACATAAAATTCGTTTATCGAAAGATAATTCCATAAGAAAAATAACTTTTAGCAATCATTTATTATTTTTTATTATTTTATTTAATAAATGTTGCAAAAATGTTGAATTAAAAGGTACACAATTTTTGCATATCTTTAAAGTATGTAATTTTATATGCAAAATACAAAATTTGAGCGAAATCAGTTGAAAAGTTCCTAAAAGCTTAAACTAAAAAACTATCAGATATTTATTCAGATATTCGATTGACTGTTTTAATTTGTGACCTCTAAATGGATGTTCTTTTTCTCTTCCTTTTCTACAAGCATTCTGAATATACGAATTAAAGGCGGTATTTACGGAACATCGTGTTAAAGTGTTATTTGCAGAATCTCCTTTTTATTATCAGATGATGATAAATAATCAAGTTAATCCGGATGACTTACAATTTTTATATCAACATTTCTATTGCAATTTTTTTAAACGTGAGATATTGATTTTAAAAAAAATGTTAAGATACACTTGCATTGTTGTATTACGTTTTTACGACCCGTTCCGTTGTAAAAGCGTCATACAACAGTACCTGTATTAGGTACTTGCATAAGTTTATTAGGTACCTGTAATTGCAGTTCCTATAACTATAATATCAATAACACCTATTATCTTTATTCATTAAGCATCCTTAGCGTTAATAATTGTTTGGAAGTTGCACCAGTGTTCAATTAAGACACTTTAAATATTAAAAAGAAAAGTTGTTATCCCAGTTCACCTGAATACATTAAATTTTTTTATTCTTATTTGATTTAACTACTATTTTCTAAAAGAAAACTTTCTTAAACTCTCCCAAACAAAATCTGGCGAATTTCTTTGGATTCCTTTCTTATTTTTAAATGTATTTTTTGCTTTTGTTTTTAATTAACACGACAACGTTGCTTTTTTCAATAATAAAAAAATGAACGGAAGTTAATAATTTTTAAAAAAATAAATTGCTATTTTTTACTTAAAAACAAATGTTTCCTACTTAAAAATAAGTTAGGTGTGAAATCTCTAACATTGCCATGACAACTAGAAAGAAAGAAATGGGACCGCTTTTGGAATGAAGCGTCGCTTTCTTGGCCCATTAAAATCCACTTTTTTCTCTCAAACTTCACCATTCTATTTTAGATTTTATTTCACGCATACAGAGAGCTATTTACAATTATTTCGCTAGCACAAAAGTCTGCTTACAAATATCAGCTTTATTATTTATGTTTATTTTAATTAGGTTAGCATTTTTTATGTTTATTATATAAAGATATATTAAATACATTCTATTTATTCGTAAATATTTATTAGACAAGTAAGAATATGTAGCTATTTTAAACTGTAATAAAAACTGTAAGTCTCCTTTTTATTGGCTGAGTACCAGAATACTTGGATTCTAAATTTGGAGCGAATTTCGCCAAATTAACACCAAAACAGTTCATATTGTATATAGAGTATATTTAATGAGAATTAAAGCAAAAAGTTAACTTTCTTAAAAAAAAAATATTGAAATTAACGTTTTAAAGGATACGATTAAAATAACTGTTAGTAGTTTACAATCGGGAGCCCCTCTCATTTTTGGCGAATTACAAGCAAATAAATACATAAACTAAGATCAATCACATAAAGGTAAACAAAAATGTGGTAATCTGAAGGTGATGTCATTGAAAGCAAAGACCACAATGTATATCATGGTAACCAGAAATGAGATTTCATTAAAACTGACAGAAAATTGTCGCCAAACCAAGAAGTCCCCGATTCAACACTAGAGTCAAGGAATTGGTAGCACACTTTATTTGCAAAAATGATTTAACATAGAAATTTTGGTTTAGATGAAACTGATCGACGGGGCTTAACACGAGTACCCAAAAATGTATTACTTTGGAAGCATGGTACATGAATATAATAGAAGATGAATTTTTAAATTCTTTATTTTCGAAAGGATGAAACGTTAAAGTATTAATCCAAGACAGTATAAATATCAAAAATCAGTAAATAACAGTAAAAAATTTAGGACTGAAAACAATTTCTAAAAGTCAACAGCTAATAGGAAAATTTTCGTTGGTAAATTTGGCTCACAAATGCAGTTCAAGATGTCAAATATTCGTACAAATTAAAATTCAGTCAAAGAAAAGTTCAAAACTATCGTCTTTGTAGCAACTTACTGTTTAAGAACGTGATAAGATTATAAAATTATTAAAAGTTTAATCAAAACTTGTGTACATTTTGAGAGCTTTAGTACCTTCAGAAGTAGCGTGTGAGGCCAAAACAGCAGGTAGTAACAAACGTACAGCAGTCTGGAGAACTCGGCTTGTAATGGTCGAACATTTATTGTAATGAACCAAACGTGAGGACTCGACAGCAATATTTGTAAAAATATCATTTATAAAGTCATTCATGATACGCATTGCCTTGCTGGAAATACTGATATTTGGGTGCAACTGTTTCAAAACTTTGTAGATGTAACTGCTGAAACTTTCTTTCCTCCTCTTTCGTTTTTTGCATCTGTCACTAATACGAATAGCTTTTTGAGTTTTTCCAACTTTATGAGCAATCAATCCAACTTTCATAACAGCTGTTTCAGCTTTTACAGATTTTTCAATGACCTTTCCACTTGGTACAGGGGGCATATTTAGCGTTCATCAACACTTGGGTTTGAATTGCAATTAAAAAGTAGCGATCGTTGCCTTTTCTAATCTAAGGCTGAACTAGATCAGGAATATATCAAGTTTGGGTTTATTCATTTAATCATTTATTTTTAAAGATAAAAACACGTAGTTTGCGCAGTTCCGTAAAAACTGATTATTTTATTTCTCCAATAAAGCATTATCAAAATTTTTTGGCAACACCAAATTTAAGGAAACTTTGATATGATATGAGGACAGCTTATTTGAGATGACCGAATTGATCAAGAATTAAAAAAAAAAATACATTTATCTTTGTCATCAACTGCATTACCCCAAATTATAAAATTATTTGGTTAAAGTGTAGAATCGGGGGCCCTTATTTAAGATTTGAAAATACATATATAGGAAGAAAAAAAACCCAAGAACCAATCACATAACGGTAAATGGAAATTGTGGTAACCTGGTGCTAACGTCATTAAAAGCAAAGACAGCAAGAAAAGAATATCACGGTAACCAGAACTGCGTTTCAGCAAAATTTTACAATTGAAATTTGTCTCCAAACCAAGGGGCACCCGATTTTACCCTTTAATCTTTTATTTACATAGGTTTCCACAAACTGGTTTGTTCATTAGCTTACACGTTAATAAGTGTTTAAGCATATCGGATTAAACTTAAAGTTATGAAGCCCAACTCCATTTTATTTATAACAATTCGTGGAAGAAATGGAACACTTATTTTCTAAGTTGTATTGCTTTATTTTCAATCCATTTGCTTGTCTGTAATGTTTACCACATTTATTTATTTTTAAAAGTTATGAGCGTTCCAATTGTTTTTTGTCAGTGCTTTGAAATTCGCATTAACGTAGTCAACCTACACTAGTTCGGGTCTGTCTCTGGTTCGGGTTCCAATTGGTTTAAAATTAAAAAATCAAGAAGTTAGAGACGAGGAGCCTATTCGACAGATGTGTCCAGCAAGTTCGATTCGCTTTATAAGGTTTATAATATTTAAGCAATATTTCACAAAAAAAAAAAATTCTTTTCATATTATTTATATTTCATTATTATTTTCTATAGCGTCTTGAACAACAATTTCTTACTAAAATTATCATTGTATAAATTAATAAACCAGGCAATTTAATTCTAAATTGAAATTCATTGCAGTCATTTTTAAGAACAAAAGCTCTTAATTTCATCACGTTTTATATTAAGATAACAGCTTAAAAGTGATTATACCGGTAACTAGTATTACATAAGTAGGCCACAGTTTCGCCTGTTCTATCTCGTAGAACAAAGGAACGAAAAATTCACCCTCGCCCGAATTCCATCATAGTGTATGACAGTCTTGTACGCCAGATCAGATTTTTGCTTTATCTATATCAGTTTCGAATTCGGGGAGGTTGTCGACCTGGGGCTGAAAGACAGGACAGGGGCGGACCCATTCCAAGCCCTCTTCTAGAACACCTTCACACACGAAGATAATGATCGCCAAATTTAAGACAAAAAACGATGTGGCACCGGTGTTGTCAGATACGAGATAAAAGCGGTAACCTCGCCTATTGTATCCGTGGATTGTCAACTAACGAGAATTCTTTTTTCTGGTATAGATCCTTAAAACACTGAGAACATGAACTTTTCACCCGAATTTTCAACAATTATTTTGGAGAAAAAAAATTTTTGTCTTATAACATTTAATAGGAGTTAAAATGATGCAACTACTACTACTGATTCCCCCCCCCCATTTATTTTTTCGCTAATTCCTTGTTTTATTTATGGAATAAAAATTCTTAGATACTCGGTGTCTTATTGAGAAGCAAATATAAAGGGTAATAGAATATGACGAAGCAAAATTTAAAGGGTGATAGAATATGATGAAGAACAATTTAAAGGACCATAGAACATGAAGCAAAATTTGAAGGGCGATAGAACATGGTGAAGCACAATTCAAAGTGTGATAGATTATGATGAAGCAAGCATATTTAGAAGTGGAACACAACGTCTCAAATGCAAATAAATTTCACAACAGAGAACTATTTTTCAGTACATTAACCTATTGTTGCGTAAACACAACATTCTGTAGTGATGTGAATAGTGTCTTAATGAAAAAGGAGACAGGAGATTCAGACTAATTTGAGATCTTCTACTATTGGCAACCATTGCAGTTAAAACGATAGAATTATATTATTATTATGGTATTATCATTATATTATTATATAAAGGTTGCCTTTTTTTTTCTAAGATAAATTTCAACAGTAAAATAATTGAATGTATAGCATTTGCATTATAAAAGCTTGATATACTTCAATTTAATTTTTCTCTTGCCATTTCATATAAAAATATTTTTGCTATACTTTACTAGAAGTTACTTTTAAAATGCAATAAATTTTTTAATTTAAATTATAATGCATTTTAAATTAAAATTAACTTCAAATAGAATTTTTGATTGAAATTTAAATTAAAACAATTTTATAAAAAATTACTGAGTATAATTTTCTTAAAGTTAAACATTTTCAAGAAGCATAGGACCAAAAAGGATGTGTATTCCACGTATTAAAAGAGGAAAATATCATATTTTTGTAAATTAATAGAACAAGATATTAAAAAGATGACACAAAGCAGGAAGTCATTTTTCAATATGTATTATCGAAGTTTGTGTTAAAAGTTATAACTACAAAATGTTAATTTATTAATTGTAATTGGGCACTTCAAGAAGAAGAGGAAGCTCACTCATACCCACACATGTGACCTATGACGTCAGCTCCAGCTGATCGTTTGTAAAGCGAAATGCCGTGTTAGTTGAGCTAAGTTTCTTCAGAATGTTAATTAACGAAGTTAATTGAATACAGCGTCGTATCGCACTTTGAAGTTGTTGAAATATAATTCGTTCTCGTCTACGCCTTTTACTTAAATTTATTATTTGTTTTTGTATTTTATTGTAATCTTGATATATTTTTGTTCTAGCAACTGCGATGCATAATTAGTTTGTTTATGTTCCACGTGTCTTCGTGCCGGTCTTTGTGTTAAGTAAGAATTTTATAGTAAAATAATTTAAATCCTTTTGAAAGAATCTTTGCGAAAGAATATAGAAGGTGTCACTTAAGAGAATTGACACTTGACGGGCTTGGTTTACTCGAAATAGAATGCAAAGATCAGTTGCCAACGTAAACAAATGACACGTTTCAACAGCCAATCAGGAGCGCGATACTCAGTCTACGTCACTTGCAGGTATCCCATTGTTCTTCGTGTACTTCTTTTCACAATAAGTTAAATTAAACTTCTTGTGTAAGGCTTCTGCAGTCACCACCGAAAAATGCTAATGCATTGTTTTAAAGGACAATCTACATCTACTGGAATAAAAAAAAAACCCTAATAATTTACCAAAATTTTCTTTCCAAAAAAATCGCTTAAACCAAAACACTTGCTCTTTACGATTTTTATTTATCTAGGATAAATTGTTTTTCATAAAATCAATTAAACTTGTAAAAAAAGCATTCCAATGAAGCAATCTTAAAAAATCATCGATATTCCGGTGGTTTGCAGAAACTATAGCGCCATCGAATCTAGTGTCATCAGCATTTACTGATAACGGTTGACAGTTACGACATGCGTCGTCTTTTGCATACCACACTAGTCATGTGATATCGGAACACGTGTTCAGCGAGTCTAGGAGATCGTCAGTGATTTGGATTTTTTGTTACATGCATCAATCGTTAAGCGATTCAGTGAGGGGGGGGGGGGTTATACTGGTTTTTNAAAAAAAAAAAAAAAAAAAAAAAAAAAAAAAAAAAAAAAAAAAAAAAAAAAAACTGAATTGCATTTTTAAGGTCATAAATATTATTGTATATGTTGTCCAAACAATAAATGTGTTCTATTTATCAAACATTAAAACCGTATGCCTAAATTTTACAAATCCTCTATTGTCATTTTAAAATATAATGTAACTTCGCATTCAATAATGTTAAAAGCCATTCTTCTAATTTTTACATAACAATTCTAAATGTAAAATTGATTTTTGTTTAAAAGAGAATTATCCATCCTTCGTTAAAGATTATTTATCCATTGATGAATAATATTTAATTTAAACGTCGAATAATAAAATTGACGAATTAATGAAAGAAAAAATACCATTAATGTTATCATTAAAATTGTTTCTGCAAAAAGATCGTATTATTTTTAATCGTTTTAAAATGAACTTTGATATAATAAGCTTTGATATGATGAATTTTGATTCTGGGGAGAGATGGCACAGGTTTTCAATATCAAATCAATATNTTTAAACGTCGAACATTAAAATTGACGAATTAATGCATGAAAAATACCATTAATGTTATCATTAAAATTGTTTCTGCAAAATGATCGTATTATTTTTAATCGTTTTAAAATGAACTTTGATATAATAAGCTTTGATATAATAAATTTTAATTCTGGGGAGAGATAGCACAAGTTTCCGAAATCAAATCAATATATATATCAATAATTATGAATCAATAGATTTTTCGCACTCTATTAGACATTCCTAAATTCTAATAGTGTCTATAATATTCCACCCGAACGATTTCTCTACATTCAAAAGAAGAAGACTTAGCTACAACTTTTTCTTCTACTTTTTTATTTACTTGTTTTATTTTAGCTGGGCAACTTACCAATTTTTTCCTGTGCTTAATTGAATAAAACCAAAAGAGTTGATTGGTCAATTAGTTTAAAAATTAGAAAAACTTTTATGTACGAAAATGACAGTTTTGTACTGGTACCTATTTAAATGTTTGAAATCGTTTTATTGACAAGTGAGACATTGTCTTTTTTCTAATTTTTCACACAACGTTAAATAAATTAAATAAAATCTTAAAACTTAATTCAGAAGCTGTAAGGGTCTCAGTAAAAGGATATCAGTAAAAAACTATAATTTACGAAAAACAAAACGTTCATAACTTTTAAACTATTAGTACCCTATTTTATTTTTATTCTTCAGCATAAAAAATGCATTGAAGAAACAATGCTATGTTAGACGCGTAAATAAGTTTAAGCCGAAAATTGTTTTTTATATACATGAAACCCTTTTAATT